GCTCGCGCCCCGCCGCCGCCAAGCAGCTACCAGATGCCAAGCAAACTGGCACCCCCTGCCGTCTCCGCCCCCAAAAGGCAGTCTTTGGTCGCCACTGGCCCTCAACAGCAGTGGACAGTACACCATAGCTGCTCTGGGCTGGGCCTCCCCCTGAGTTGCCTGTTCCCCCAGCCTCCCTGGACATCCCGTGAAGTCCTTCCCCTTCTAAGTCCCAACCCAGAGAGAGGATTAAGGAGCTTGGAAAACTGGAGTGGGAAGTTCTGCAGCCAGCCTTAGGCCTTCCTTCCCTCCAGGCAGGTCCCTTGCTGGGGGAGGGAGCAGGGTTCAACTGTGGTTCCCCTTCTGCTCAACCCCGTAGGGAGGAACAACCCTCATTTCCCCATAGGTGGTTACCACTTCCTGCTGCCGGAAGACACTCTCCTGCCTCCTTTCCCCAGCAGCTTGCACCTGCCCTGACCAAGGCCTGGCGGGTAACCCCCTCAGAGCTAGGTTTTAGCCAGCCTGGAGACACGTCCTGGGGCCTGCGTCATCCAGGGATGATGGAGTTTCCCTCCATTCCTCTGTAACAACTCTGTGCCATAGGGCAGCAGCTTTTCTCCAGTAAATTGGGAAGGCAGGTGGCAGGTAGTGACAAGCCAGACTAGACTACTGTCTCTCTTTAGTGGGAGATAAATCCATGGGGTATGGGCCGTGGGAGAGAGGCAAAGCAGTTAGGCAGTGATTGTCTCCAGACAGGAAGGCCTGCAGGCATAAGAGCAAGGAAGGGGTCCAGACATGTGTGCATGCATGTCAAAATGCAGGTACGGGTCTGGTACAATGATACATCTGCAATCTCAGCTATTGAGGAAGCTGAGGCAAAAAGGACTGCCAGTTCAAGCCCAGTCTAGACAAGCAAGACCCTGCCTCACATTTTCTAAAAAAAAATGACTGGGGGTAGAGTGCTTCTCTTGCACAAGGCCGTGGTTCACTCCCAGTACTAGGGGAAAAAATATACTTGTGGATACATATAACCTTGACCTGCAGATCTGAGGGAAGGAGAGGCCATTCAGGTACTGTCTTTCAGCTTTAAGCAATAAATTCTCTTGCCCAGAACGGAAAAAATACATCCCCTCAGCTGTGACCCCCCAACACACACACCCCTAGTACCAAAGCCTTTCTCTAAGATGCTGCCATGTGCCCACAGGACCTTGAAGAAAGACATGGGAGCTAGCCAGACTCGGGTAGGTCCAGGACCTGAACTTCTAGTAGCTGGTTTCTTTTGTTGTTGTTGTTGTTGTTTTGTTTTTAGTTGTTGACAGGACCTTTATTTATTTATTTATTTATATGTGGTGCTGAGGATCTAACCCAGTGCCTCACACATGCTGGGCAAGTGCTCTACCACTGACCTACAACTCCAGCCCCAGCTGGTCTCTTAAGTGCGAATGTTGGAGTCTTCCAGCAAAGCTGGTGAGCTTGAATCTCTTCCCACCACACACACACATGCACATGCACACCTGAACCTGCTCCTGTGTTAGGAGAGACCCACACACCCCACCATTGCCTCATGCTGAAGGAACCAGGCACCCATTCCCCTCATTAGCTACCCAACACATCTTACCTGGTTTCTATGCCTCTGGGCCCTGATTGGTCACTAAAGGTCCCTCATCCATTCAGCAGAGCCAGGCACAGAACTCAACCACATGGCTGCTAAACTGGCCTCAGCCCTTGCTTTCAAATGCTCTCCTTAGTCCTTTTTGGACTCCAGAAATATCACATTGGTGCCCCTTTCAGTCCCTGCTTCCTCTCCCCTTCTTTCTCTTTCATTGGAGATTGAACCCAGGGACACTTTACCACTGAGGTACAACCCCAGCCCTTTTTATTATTATTTCTTTTAATTTTGAGACAGGATCTTGCTAAGTTGCTGAGGCTGGTCTCCAACTTTTTAAAAATTCTTTTTAGTTATACATGAAAGTAGAATCCATTTTGATATAATTATACAAACATAGAATATATCTTATTCTAGTTAGGACCCCATTCTTATGGATGTACATGATGGATGGTGGGATGGACTATGATATATTTACATATTTACACAAGAAAATTATTTCAGACTGGCCCCGACCTTGTAATCCTCCTATTTCAGCCTCCTGAGCTCTTGGGATTACAGAGGGGCATTACCACTCCTGGCTTCAGCCCCTGCTTTGAATCCTTGAATTGAAAGCAAAAACCAACCAGCCAACCCCTTGAGTCCTGGCTTTTAAGACACTTGTTTGGCATTTAAAGCCCTGAATGAAACTGCACCCTAATGATGGCTCTATCTTTAACTATACTATTCCTCTACAAAGAATCCAAAAGCCAAATTATATCACATAAGGTGAGGGCCAGGACTGCAGGACCTTTCTAAGCCCGTTGCATGTACATTTGGTACTGAGGGGTGATGGCAGAACTGATGTAGTTAGGTAAGATGTGAAGGTGGACCAGAGGGAGATTAAACCAATGGTGAAATTGTCACCATATATCCACATGGAAATGAGAGCATGAATTAGGCAATGAGCCCCCGCTTCCCATTCCTCTGTGTCGGTTTTCCAAAAGTTTAATAATGGGGATTCAGAGGTCAAGGTTGTTCATCTTGAATGTGTATGGGTTCATCTCCTGGAGAAGCTTCCCTGGAGTCCACCCCCAGCCACACAGTGAGGAGGCGGGGGACCTGCTTTCCCACCCAGTCTTCCAGCCTCTACTCATTGGCTTAGAAGCGGCCGCTCCCAGGAGGCAGATACTGCAGAGGCAGGAGAAGTACCGGGCCTCTAGGGCCAAGCGGGCCTGTGGTTTCCGTCCTGTCTTTTTCTCCCCCGCTTGGCAGGTCCCACCTCCGCCCAGGAAACCTAACCGCCTGGGGGCGGAGGGGGCGGCCGCGCGTCTCTGGGCCGCTAGAGACGCAGAGGACCGAGGGCTAAGGCGTAGTGAAAGGAAAGTTCCCCACCGCGCCGTAGGAGCTATTAGCAGCTCCCTCCCTCTAGCGCTGGGGCGCGGCCAAGACAATGCGCATGCTCGCCCTCTAGTTCGTAATTGGGCCGGCGCCGCCGGACCAATCAGAGCCTGGGAACTTAGCCCACCGCCTGCTTGCGAAGAGACTGACTCAGGCACGGTGGGCGGGACCAGGGGTCGCTTCGACCCATACAAAGAGAAGCCTTGAAACTTCAGCCAATTAACGCAGCGTCACCCGAGCCAGCGAGCTAGGGAGTGGCGGCCGCGCGCAGGCGCCCTTCCTGCCTAGGCCCTGCCCAGCTGCACTCTATTCACGGTTTCTGCAGTTGGTCACGCGCCAGGCGCTAGCCAAAGAGGAAGTTCTGGTCTGGGTGGTGAATTATTCAACCTGACGGGGAAGCAGCGTGCCACCGCAATAGCGGGACTATTAAGCATAGTGACAGCTCAGGAGTGCGGAGCTCCTCTGGGATGCTGGTGGCCCAGGCAGAGCCGGCTCAGGGACTAGGAGCATCAAATGCTGGCGTTGCAGCCAGGAGGGGCAGGGAGGAAAGATGTGGGAGCTAAAATTAAGGTTAGAGTGAGGCCATGAATTGGCTCATGACTTGTAACAAATATGCCACCTACTAGAAAATATTAATAGGGAAACAGGGGAAAAGGGGATAGGTACTATCTGATCAGTTTTTCTGTAAAAAACTACAGTGGCACACGTCTGTAATCCCAGCAGCTCCAGCTCAGGAGGCTGGGGCAGGAGGATCCAGAGTTCAAAGCCACCCTTAGGAACTTGACCTTCTCTAATAAAATTAATTTTTTTTGGGGGGGGGAGGTACTGGGGATTGAACCCAGGGCCTTGTGTATGTGAGGCAAGCACTCTACCAACTGAACTATATCCCCAGCACCTCTAATAAAATATATTTTTTTTAAATTGCTGAGGATGTGGTTCAGTGGTTAAGTGCCCCTAAATTCAATCTCCAATACCCCCCCCCAAAAAAAAACTATACTGAGGTCTCTTAATTGTTTTCAAATGTAAGCTCATGTTAGGGAGTAGATTCAAGAGATCATGGAGGTTGAGTACACAGGGCTTGCTATACTTTCTCATGGCAGGGGAAGAAGTAATTGAAATAGTTGACAAGGCTTGAAACAACTGGATGGCAGGTTGGGACATGACTCAGATAGGATAGGTGTAGATAAGCCCAATGATCAGTTGGACACAGGCAACTGGCATCTACCAGGTATGAATTGGAGCTGAGCTGCAGTAGCTGGAAGGAAATGTGACTCGGGAAAGAAAGGGGTGGCAGAAGTAGTACTGCATACTAAGAATGAGGGGGAGATGCCTTTGAAGCTTAAGGTTGGCTAGTCTAGGCTTGTCCCTCCAAACACTGAATGTGGGAAAACTAGAAAGGCCCTGACAGATCATCTACCTCAGCCCTGGAATGTTAATGAGGACACAGAGGCCTAGCAAGGTAGCAGCAGAGCAGGGCTCCAAAGGCAGAGTGTCTGCTTCCTCAGTGGGGATCCTCCTCCCCTGACCCAAAGCTGCTGAAAGCCATGGATCTTGGGAGTCCCATCTCCACACCCCTGAAGAAACCCTTCCCTTTTACTTGGACTTGGCAGGTTGCTCTAGGTTCAAAGGTTGTAAAGTTTTTATCCCCTGGGCAAAAGCTGGAGAGGCACCCCCCCACCAAACTCTGCAAAACACACCACACACACACAGACACACACACACTTTCCAAGGCTTCAGCAGCACATACACAAACAGGAACAATAGAGTATTAGCATGGGCCTGTGCAAGGATGACACGAAAACTCATGAAGTATGCCACACTCAAGAAACAAATCCCCAAGGACCACAGGCTGAGGTTTATTGTGAAAACCTGTAGGTGAGGATGGGCTGGGGCAGGCTCTAGGAGGCTGAGTCAGAGGCCTCTGAGCTGTCCTTGACATCCGTGCTCTCTGTGGTCTCGCTGACCTCACTGAGGTCTTTGCTGTCCCCGCCACTATCCTCAGCAGCCAGGCCTTTCTCCTCACGACAGACCTCTCCTGAGCTGGGAAGCGAATTGCCTTTGCTCTCCACCTTGTTCTCAATGGCACCCAGGACCACGTGCCTGCCCTTTTCTTTCAGCTCCAGATGCCGCCTCAGCTGCGACCAGGAGCCCAGGGAGAAGCATGTAGAAAGAGAAAAGACATAAGTCTGTAGTCAACAGGGCAAGGGAAGCCAGGTTCAGTTACTATGGGAGGGGCATAATGAGAGGCCAGAGCAGGGCCAGAGCAGGAAGCCCAACTGGTGGGGAAGACCTTGCTTGAGTTCTGACTCTGCCCTTCTCTAGGCCTGTTTTCGCACCCATAAAATGAGAGTGACTGTGCCTCCCTCAAACCAGCCACTGAGAAACCCCCAAGATAACAGTGCCCTTTAAGAGCCCTGTCCTCTAAGGAGGCATGACCAGGACCCCAACTTTCTCCACAGCCCAGTTTGGTTTTACCTCTGAACAGGCAAGTCACAGGTATTCCCTGGTCATCCCATTCCCCCTCTGGAAAGTCTCCCTCTGCACTTCATATCCCTCCTACAGGCTTGTTTCCCAGAAAACAGAATCCTGGATGGATGGCCTCTTCTAGAGCCAGCCAAGGCCAAGGTCCCCACTTGACCACTTAGGAAATGAAGGTAAAAGAGGGGCTCCAACCCCCAGCACTATAGCTGCAAGGACTGGCAACAAAAGTTGGTCTTGCTTCCAGCCTCCTGTTTCAGGCGTCCTGATAAGCCACCTTCCCCCAGCAGGACCCGCCCCCCTTCACCTCCAGGAATGCTGCTGTGGCCAAGGTGGACTCTTACCTCATCAGCCATCTGGGTGAGGTCCCGCTTCATTGCATATGCATCTTCCCCATCTGCATAGTATTTGGGCTCCACTTCGCTGATCCTAGAGATAGTAAGAAAACCCAAACTTGGGGGCAAATTATCTTGGTCTCCTGGTATCATAGGCTAATGGATAGGTGTCATTTCCCCCTGAAGAATCCTTTTGGAAGCAGAAATCCCAGCAGAAAGGAACTCTTTTTCAGTAGCCCCATTTCCAACATGGCCTTCCCTGTGCTGTCTCCAGCAAAGTTCAGAGCAGGCAGCACCCACTGCCTTGACATCATTCACCACAGTCCTGCCACTACCGAGCCCAGTCCAGCTACCAAGATCTGTCTGTGGTTCCTCATGAGGTTAAACCTGGGTTAGCCCTCTCCTTCCCTACCTGCTCTGCTCCCTGTCACTTACTGAGCACATAGCCAATTCCTCTGCCTAGCAAGAACAATGGGAACTGGGGGCGAGGGGTGCTGTGGCCTCTGTGAGTACTCTTCCCACACATTGTGGACCCTGCCCAAGCAGCTTAGGGGGAGTGCCTACATTGGGAGGTGTGTATGCACACTCTGGTGGCCCTGCCACTGGAAAGAAAGTTGCACTCATTGGCCTGACCCCAGTCTCACTTTCAAGTACTTTCTGCCACTGTCTACTGAACACGTCCAGGTTCTCTTGCCCATGTTGGGCACATGAAGATTCCCACAGCCTGAGCCAACCTGCCCTCATCCACCAGGATGCTCACAGCTCTAGGTCTCTTGGTGCTCTAGCTGGTGGCCCTTCCTTCCTGTGTCATCCTTCCTTCTCCTCTCAAAGATGGTTCCTAGTCACTTGGAGTCCTGCTTCTTTGTCTCTGTTCATGCCTGGGGACCATATCTATCTACTCCCAAATTTGAACAAAGAAGCATCACATGTTCTTTGCCACAGTTACCTTCACCAACCTTGGCCAATAGCAAGCTATCCCTCCTCCATCAGCAAGACATGCCAGATCACCACCCCCCATCACAACATGCGGTGAACAGATATGAACAGGCAGGTGCTGTCTCTATATCAGCAGCACAGAGTATGGAGAAGGACTCCTAGCAATGTCTGGAGTCCATAGCTGCCTGCCTCCCCCTCTTGGTCCCTCCCACATTGTGCCTGAAAGGCAGCTCAGCCCACTTCAACCAACTGGATGGGCCAGACCTGGGACCAGCCCCATCCCCTTAGAAAAATCTAGATCTACTTACTGAAAGTTGAGGGTGTTGGAATAGAGGTGCAGGGCGGCCCGGTTACTGCAGGGGAATAAGGCACTGCTGAACTTGGCCAGGCAGGCCATGTCCAGGTACTACCCCTCCCCCTGGCTCCTCCTTCCCACTGATCCTACTTCCCAGATTTCCTCCAAAAGGCAGAGCACCCTAGAACCTGCATCAAAATGTTGTCTCTTCTTCCCCCTCCCCGCATCCCTCAGCTTAGCTTCCACCTCTTCCTGACATGCAGGGAGACGTATTTGGCATTGAAGTTCTCTATCATGGCTCGAGAGGCCTGATCCATCAGCTTCTGAGCCAGGCCAAGGCGCCTGTGGGAACGTTTCACAGCCTGGTGAGAAGAGGGTGGGTGGGGGTGGGATCTTAGTAAGATCTTAATGTAAGGGCTACCCCAACTACCCCCTGCTTCCTTGGTGGGCCCCACTTACCAGTGAGGTGATATGTCCATGAGGCACATCATCTGGGTCCTCTTCCCTAGAGGAAAAAGGAAAGAGCTAGAAAGGAGCCTGGTGCAGGCACAGCCACCCCCAAGCACCTGTGCACAGTGGATGTTCAAACTACTTGAGGCTGGTGTTCTAGCACTCCAAGATCCAGGCTGGGGAAGAGCAGCCAATAGTGCTCCCTCTACCCCACATTGACCAGATATGTGCAGTGTCAATACAATATTGTACCATGATAAAAATATATAAATAAATGGCTGACAAGCCACAAAAAGGACAGGAAGGAACCTTAACTGCATATCATTAAGTGATAAAAACCCAGTCTGAAGAGTCTACAGGCTGTATGATTTCAACTACATGCCATTCTGGAAATGGCAAAACTGTGGAGCTGGTAAAAAGATCAGTGGCTGCCAGGGGTTAGTGGGGCGGGGCAGGGGGGCGTTACAGAGCACAGTAAAACAAGTCCTAGCCGTATGTATAAGGCTGGGAGCTCACTGCACAGAAAGAAAGTCAAGAATGTAAACTTTGGGCACTTAGTTAACAAAGTATCATTGTTGGTTCCTTACTTACAACAAATGTACCTAATGCAACATGTTAATAATAGAGGAAATGGAGAGTAAGGGATCTTATGGGAAATCTGTACTGATCTGCTTAATTCTTCTGTAAATTTACAGTCCTAAAAAGCAGCCTATTTTCTTTTTTGAAACCTACACACATGAGCATCCATGAGACATAGGGACTGTTGGCCTTCCCCTCCAAAGTTTGTCTCCCACAGTCCCAGCACTAGGCTTCTCTTCCTCCTTGGTGACTCACATTTTGGCCAGGACATACCCCACAATCTTCCCATTCTCATCCTCAGCAATGTAAGAGAGCTGGTGACAGAGAGGAAAAGGAAGTCAGTACACAACTTCATGTAGGAGCCCAAAGAACCCACAGCCCATCTCCTGCTATGTGCCTGACAGCTGGAAGTTGCTCAAGTGGTGAGTTCTGTGACAGCTTTTGACCTGTCGGACAGTTTTCACCACACCACAGAGTGTCCTGTCTTTGACCCACAAGAGAAGAGACAGAAGGTAGGAATCCTGTCCCCACCCTGCCCCTATTCTACGCTCCCTTCAGGCACCTCCTTTTTGTCGCCCCTGCCCCCTCCAGCTGAGAACACCCCTACCGACCACAAAGCCCTCGGGGCTCTTATGGCCTTGCCCACTGGGGCTGCAATTTCCTCGGCCTAAGGTGTCTTACTCCCAAATTCAAACTCTTCCCACCTGGGGCCAGGAGAGGCCATGGTAGAAGTAGTATTTCATCTGATAGTTCTCAGGCAGGCAGAGGAGGTTGCAGTGCTGCATGTTCATCAGGTCCTCAGGCTGCAGGGGAGGACAGCGGGACGCGATCAGTTTAGGGCTGGGGTGACTAAGTAGGCCTCCGTCAGGTGAGAATCCAGCTCCCTGTCGGTGTTCTCAGCCTCCCTCCACCGGGGCTGGGAAAGGCTGTGAATATCTGACTGCACAGGGCCTGGTCCACAGCCGCTGGTGCAAAATGCGTCAGTTTCAGGAAAGAGTGAGAGCCTGGAGGTTCCAGGAGCCCACCCTACCGGGTCCTGACATCATGCAAACAGGGGATTCACAGCCCTAAGCCCTGCGTCCCTGACCACCACTGCAGGCTGGTCCAGCTTCACGGTTCCCGCGGCTGCCGGCGCGCAGGGCCACAGGGCCAGGTCCCCCGGGAGCATGCGCACGCGGCCACCCGGTCCGGCGCCCACGCGGCGCGGACAGTCGCCCGCCCCGGCTCCTCACCCTCGCATTGCGGATGTTCATAACGGCGGCGGGGCTCGCGGGTCCCAGCGGGTTGTGAACGCGCAGTCAGCTGCCACCGCGCTCTGAAGCGATGCAGGGGAGGATGAGGATGGGGCCGGGGCCGGGACCGGGGCTGGGGCTGGAGCTGGGGAAGGGCTCGCGGGGGCGGCGGCGGAAGAGGCGGTGCGCTCCCGACCGGCCACCGGCCGGAAGTGCGCGGCTGCTGGACCCGCCCTCCTGGCCGCTAGGCCAATGTGTGGGGTGGTCCAGCGCGCAGGGTGGGCCAGTCCTCGGGGCGGGCTAGTGCGCGCACAAGCCAATGAACTGAACAGACCAAAGCGCAGGGCGGGAGTGTGGGTGGGGCGAGGCGCCAACCCAGCGAGGCGGTACCTGTGGGCTGCTGGACGCTGGCTACACGCAGTGGCCGCCCCCTCCCGCGCACCCATAGATTCGCGCACACAGGCAGGTAGAACAGGCTCAGCTTTATTCCGCGCGTCAGCGGGCGGGGACAGCGGGCAGGGAGCAGGTGGGGGCGGGGGCTGAGGCAAGGCGGCTCAGCAGAGCGCCCAGCATCTCTTCGCACATGGCTAGGCACCGCGGCACGTGGAAGCAGCCTGTGGGGAAAGGCGGGTGGGTTAGGAGGGCAGGGGGAGCCGAGTCCACGAGCCCCAGCGGCCCCGCTGTCCCACACTCACCTTTGAAAGGACCCCCCTTAATGGTGAGGGCGACCTTTCCCTCTCGATTTAGATAGCCAAACCACTCCCCATACTCGGGATCTCGAAACTGGAATAACAATGAGACAATGACAGCTAGAGCCGGCCGAACCTGCCTGGATGCCCCGGTCTGAGTGCTCGGAATGCTCATCGTACCCGCTGCACCGCTGCGGGGGGTGGGGGGATCGGAGCCCCGGTGGACCCCAGGTATCATGCCTCCAAAATTAGTGTTTTTAACCACTACAAGGCGTCCTGGACAAAGATGAAAGCCAGGGAGTGAAAGGCAGCAGGCCGTCTGCCCCTGTGTAACTGGCTAGAGAAGGGTCTGCAGGCGAGGCGCTGAAACTATGAGATGGAATAAGAAGAACCCTACTCTGGAACAACAGTCTACACACCATAGCGTGATTGCAGTGGTGGTTACACAGGTTTATTACATTGTTATAACTCCTTGAACTGAATCCTTAAAGTTGATACATTTTAGTGTATGTGAATTGTACTTCTGGTCAACCCACTTAAAGAAACTTGAGCCGGTGTGGTGATGCACACCCGTCATCCCAATGGCTTGCCAGGCTGAGACAGGAGGATCCCGAGTTCAAACCCAGCCTCAGCAGTGGCAAGGCCCTAAGCAACTCAGGGAAACCCTGTGTCTAAATGAAATACAAAATAGGGCTGGGGATGTGGCTCTGTGGTTGAGTGCCCCTGAGTTCAATCCCCAGTACCAAAAAGGAAAAGAAACTTCATGGAGGCTTGACCTGACAGGAAACTGGTTAACAAGTAATTCCCCTGTTCCCAGATTCACAGGTCTGTGGTCCAGTAGATGACTATGCAATCCTACACAGAGATCAGACTCCTGTCCTTGTATGATGGGTTCCAAATGCATCTCATCCTTTTTCTTCCTCTGCCCCTGTCCAGTACTCCACTACTTTCCATACCGGGAACAGCAGCTCAGCTAGCTAAGCTGACCCATTCCCCCAATCCTGTCCTGCCTGCACCTCATCCAGCATCTGTCTCAAGGAGGTTTGTCAGTTCCTTACATACTCTCCAGGATAGATATACTACGAGGCCCTAGCCTAGGTCCATTTATTTTTCCTGATAAGTGGAGGCCCTTCTCAGAGGATCATAGAGCAAAACAATGACATTAAACTCTACTATCAAAATGTCCCTTTAGGAATTAGAGGGTGTAGCTCAATGCTTGAAGCACTTGACTGGCATGCAGAAGGCTCTGGGTTTGATTTCCATAACTGCAAGAGAAAAGTCCATTTAAATTGTGATCTATGAGTTCATGGCAGCTGGTCAACATGGTGCACACCTGCAATCCCAGCAACTCAGGACAGTGAGGCAAGAGGATCTCAAGTTCAAGGTCAGCCTCAACAACTTGGGAAGACCCTGTGTCAAAAAGAAAAGGCACTGGGGTTGTGGCTCAGCAAGAGAGCACTTGCCTAGCACACGCGAGGCCCTGGGTTCGATCCTCAGCACTACATAAAAATAAATAAATAAAATAAAGGTATAAAAGAAAAAATAAAAGACTGGGGATGTAATTCTGATAGAGTTCAATCCCCAGTACCATGGGAGTTAAAACTAGTTCTTATCTATTCATTATTAACTTTTCAGTTATATTGCTCATGTCCCTATTGTTTTATGACTTGATGTGACACAGGAAGATAATGCCCAGCACCACACACAAATAAACAAAAATCAAAAATGTAAGTAAAAAACCTTCCTATTGTTTTTCTGTCCAGTTTTCCTTTTCCTTGACCATCCAGATTTTTGTTTTCTGTATTATGTTTCTTAGTGCATACTGATTTACATGTTCATTATGACTTTTGTAACTGTTTAATGTCATCTCTATCTTGTTCAAATGTGTCCTATTTCCTTTTATATTTATAACTGGTGGCCTCTCATCCATGCCCTTTATGAATACATTCAGTATTAAGACAAAGTCACATGTCTAATGATTCCTCCTATTTGGAAACTCATAACAAGCATGTGAGATACTTGGAGATGCCTCTAACCACAACATAATATAAATAAATCTGGGATTCCCTTGCCTCCAGTCACAATGACAGCAGTGCGAGATTTCAGTTAGAGATCAGTGCACATAAAATAATTTTTCTCCTAGCTTCCACAGCCCATAGACCCCAGGATAAGAGCCTCTGCTATGGTTCCAGGTTTCTTTGTTTTGTTGCCTCATAGCTCTCAGTATTAAATATCTGTAGCCATGGGCTGGGGATGTGGCTCAAGCGGTAGCGGGATCGCCTGGTATGCATGCAGCCCTCGTTCAATCCTCAGCACCACATACAAAGATGTTGTGTCCGCCGAGAACTAAAAAAAATATTAAAAAATTCTCTCTCTCTCTTTAAAAAGAATAAAAATAAATAAATATCTGTAGCCAGCCCAGACCTCTCCCTCTGAATTACAGACTCAGAAATCCAAACACAGCTCCACCAGCCTCCTTGTCTCAAGGCTGAGCAGGTCGTTCAGGGTCCTGCCAGGCTTCTTATCCAGGTTGAGCCCTGCCTAGACCCTCTTTCTCATACACACCCTGCCCTGCTCTAGTCTCAGATTCCTGCCCCTGGAAACTTAGGCAATCCCCATTCTGCTACCTGCCATCTCTGCCACCTACCAGGGGCTTTCAAGGGACAAGGGGGCAGCACTCACCTGGCGGAAGGTGTACTCAGCCACCTGATAGAAGAGGTGTAGCAAGGCAGGGTCCCCACTGTCACTATAACCCATGAGGAAGGCAATCATGGCCTCACTGTGTGGCCACCAGAGCTTCATATCCCACTCCAGCTAAAAGTAGAGCAGAGGCAGGTGTCTGAGAGGCCTGGTCACCTGCATCCCTCTCAGTAGGGCACTCATCACTCATCCTCTGGTCCCAGCTCAGTTTCTATCTGACACTTGAAGTTTAATTGTGAGATATCTCTGGGAGGCTCAGAATGACCCCTCTGACAGGGACATACCCCAAGAGATCCCTTAAAAGGACAAGTGGAAGGACAGGCTCCCTTTTAGCCCTTGAGTCAAAACCCTGTCCCTCTTGTCTAGCTGTCTTTAAGCCCCTTGGACACTGTTCCCACCCATGGTCAGCACAGCCACCCTCAGCAGTCAGAAGGCCACAGCACAGGGAGCAATTCAAGAAAGCCTTAGAAAGGAGGCTAATCGTGTCCCTGGGAGCACCAACCTGGGTAGGGCAGAGGTTGTCAGCATCCTGGAAGTAGAAGAGGCCTCCATGCTCAGGGTCCCACCCAGAGTGGAAAGACAACAACAGGAACTTCTCTATGACGTGAGCGCGAAGTTCAGGATTGCCTTTCCTGAGGGCATGACGAAGCAGGAACCAGCCAGCTTCCAAAGCATGGCCTGGGGAGGGGTGGAGTCAAGCAGCACCAGACCCTCCTCAGGCGTGGGGAGAGGTCAAGCCCGCCTGGCACTTCCCTTCCTCCCTCCCTAACCCTTAGAGCCTTGTGTTCTGCCCCCAAGGGATAGTCTGCTTTTCAGCCTTTCAGGCCTGCCTGAACCCTGCAACCTGGCAACAAGCTCCCCTGACTTATGCTCCTGCTGTCGCCAATGTCCCAGCACCAGAAGACCACTTCTCTCTCTGCTCCTCTGTAGAGGGTGGCAGAAGGCAACTCCCCTTACCTGAAGCCTCAAGCCTGAGGTGGTCCCTTCCTCAGGCTCAGTCTATTCTGCCCCCTCACCTGGGTTCTGGTGTCTCCCCAAACAACCAGAGAGTTCTTTGCCATCCTCTGACACGTTCTCCAGCACAGCTTGTCCATCCCTCTGCAGGAGAAGGGGCAGGAGAAGCCAACTCTATCATTTAGCTCCCAAATAACCCCTCCCTCCCACCAGCCTAGATTCACCCCCAGAGGCCTCCAGGTTCTAATCCTGGCCACAGGCCTGGGCCTCTTGAAGGGGAAGTGTAAAACATTGAAGGGGACTGACAGGGCAGGCATGGATGCCAGCAGAGGATGGGGTGGGACAAGGCTTAAGTCTGGGTTTCTAGCTCAGGGGCTCTGGCTCCCTCCCTTCAGCCCTTGGCCACACCCAGTTCTCTGCCAAGTGACATGCTTGGGCTCTACCTTCCCAAGGGCTCTGGGCTGCACGTCCCCAAATAAGCCTCCCCAGGTCTGACATTTGAAGTTTAATTGAGATATCTCTGGGAGGCTCAGAATGGCCCCTCTAACTGGGATATACCCCAAGAAACCCCTTAAAAGGACAAATGGAAGGACAGGCTCCCTTTTAGCCCTTCAATCAAAACCCTGTCCCTCTTGTCTAGCTGTCTTTAAGGCAGAAGAATCACCCCAGGTAGTGGGAGAAAGTGTGTCATATTGCCCTTCACACACACACCTGGACATGCTGCAGAATCCTCTGGGCACACCAGTCTCCCAGCTCTGCATATTTGCCTGCCAGCTCCTCATCTGCCTCCCCAAGCTGCTCTACCAGGTTGAGTAGCATCATGGGCACTGCCATGGACTCTGCAGCCGGAGCCCCTGGCA